CCTGTACAGTGCCTAGATACAGTGACGGGTGCTTTAGAAATACTGATGGGGAGCAGCAAAGCTACACACTTCTCCTCCACTGCATTCACCAGCAATATGGGTGCGAACTTCAAACCCTAACTGGAACCAGGTAAGTGCTATGAAGCTGTCCAGTCTTTTTAAAGCAAATATGAAAATGAAGTTTTAAAAACCTGTTAAGGCAACATTAAAATTGAACAGGCCTTGCACATGCTAAGGTTCCAGGAGCATTGTTCATTCTGCCATATCGCAGATCTGTAATATTTTTGTCCCTCTTTTTCCTGTTAAACAGTAGCTTAATATATTCTAGCGTAAATCTGGCCAAGATAATTTTGCTGTTGAAACCTTACCATTTGCTTTTCCTGATTGTGCAATACATTTGCATAAATGCAGTGCTTGTATATAATCATAGGCAGCATAATTTAAATGTCTGTTAATAAAAATTACCACAATGTGTTTGAGTCTCCTCTGATACTAGCCATCCATAGTTGTTATTCTTACAGGGCCAACACACACTACCATCATGCTAACACCACAGGGGCTGCACTAGATTACACATGGAATTTATCATCTTCCTCCTGCCCTTTGTGCCTTTGAAAATCACCCATTTTAGTGTTTCCTACTTTACTAGCCATCTCTTCTCCCATTTGAGATCATAATGCTCTTTTTATGGCAGCAATTTGTTCCCAAGGAAAAATTAGAGCAGTGAGAGAGCATTAGAGCATTCCCAAACTTGTTCTGCCGCTTGTGCAGGGAAAGCCCCTGGCAGGCCGGGCCGGTTGTTTACCTGCCGCGTCCACAGGTTTGGCCGATCGTGGCTCCCAGTACCCACGGTTTGCTGCTCCAGGCCAATGGGAGCTGCTGGAAGTGGCAGCCAGTACATCCCTCGGACCCCGCCGCTTCCAGCAGCTCCCATTGGCCTGGAGCAGCGAACCGCGGCCACTGGGAGGATCAGCCGAACCTGCGGACGCGGCAGGTAAACAAACCGGCCCGGCTCACCAGAGGCTTTTCCTGCACAAGTGGCGGAACAAGTTTGGGAACCACTGAATTAGAGTAAGAAAAATCTTCATTAGGAAACACAAAAGGTTTGATTCACCACTATCCAGTTTGCAATTTATATTGGCATAAAATTGGAGTAATGCAATGATAAATAAGGCCCAAATATCTTCTACATGGAACAGAGGAAACTATTGGCCTATTAGTTTTTTCCCTCTCTACCCAAAATAGTTTCATAGTGAAGGTTCCACATCAGAGCACTCAGACTTCAACGTACAGCTGGATTACTGACTGCACTTGCACGGAAAAAATCCCACTGGTTTTCAATAACGTTCATATTTTTTATATTGTAAAAAGGGATTAGATGACCTCTTCTGGGTTTAGGAGAATGCGTCTGTATTTAAATCTCCCAGGGATCAGTATGGCTTAAAATAATGCCTTTAATTCTTTGCTTTTACATTTAGCAATTTATCAAAAAATGTTGCAGGTATTAGATCCCACATTGCACAATTAAACTGATATTTTCTTATAAGGGACTCAAGGGAGCTGATTCAAAAGCAGGAGTGTTCAAGCCTTTCATTCTTCTAAAGGTAAATAACAGAGTTCCATACGATCTTCCATGTGAAACTCTTAAAACAAAGGTATTAATTTACTTATAGGCATATCTATGGCACTTGACACTAAAGTGTCTGAGCCCCTAACAAGTTTGTGATTTCTCTTTGCAACTTCCCTGGGAAATAAAGGCAAAATTATTATATGCAGTTTCCAAAAGGAAAACTGAGGCACAGATAGTTTAAGTGATTTGCCCAAAGTCACACAGGATGTCCCTCCAAATGGCTCTCTATGAACATTAAAAATCCCGTGGCACTTTCATTAGCGTTCTAGCCAACTCCACCAGGCTCCTTGGTCAATTTCTCCACCCCCTGGTTTATTGTGCAGTGCACTGCTCAGTTCCCACACTCCTCATACCACAGAGATGGCTGTGTTTCAGTGGTGCTTTTCATCAAGAAGGATTTAATGATACCTTTCCAAAATATTACAGTTAGGAGAGGTTGTTATGTAGTCTGATAAAATCGAATGGAAAAAACCCACTCTATTCATACATCATGAATATTGCATATTTAAATACAAAAGAGTCAAGAAATACTAAAGGTTTCAGAGTAGCAGCCGTGTTAGACTGTGTCCGCAGAAAGAAAAGGAGTACTTGTGACACCTTAGCGACTAACACGTTTATTTGAGCATAAGCTTTCGTGGGCTACAGCCCACTTCATCGGATGCATAGAATCGAACAGATAGAAGAAGATATAGATACACATACAAGAGAAGTTGGAAGTTTCCATACAAACTGTGAGAGGCTAATTAGTTAAGATGAACTATTATCAGCAGGAGAAAAAAAAAACTTTTGTAGAGATAATCAGGATGGCCCATTTAGACAGTTGACAAGAAGGTGTGAGGGGACTTAACATGGGGAAATAGATTCAATATGTGTAATGACCCAGCCACTCCCAGTCTCTAGTCAAACCCAAGTTAATGGTATCTAGTTTGCATATTAATTCAAGCTCAGCAGTTTCTCATTGGAGTCTGTTTTTGAAGCTTTTCTGTTGCAAAATTGCCACCCTTAAATCTTTTACTGAGTGGCCACAGAGGTTGGAGTGTTCTCCTACCGGTTTTTGAATGTTATGATTCCTGATGTCAGATTTGTGTCCATATATTCTTTTGCGTAGAGACTGTCCGGTTTGGCCAATGTACACAGCAGAGGGGCACTGCTGGCACATGATGGCATATATCACATTGGTAGATGTGCAGGTGAACGAGCCCCTGATGGCGTGACTAATGTGATTAGGTCCTATGATGGTGTCACTTGAATAAATATGTGGACAGAATTGGCATCCGGCTTTGTTGCAAGGATAGGTTCCTGAGTTAGTGTTTTTGTTGTGTGGTGTGTGGTTGCTGGAGAGTATTTGCTTCAGGTTGGGGGGCTATCTGTAAGCGAGGACTGGTCTGTCTCCCAAGATCTGTGAGAGTGAGGGATCATTTTTCAGGATAGGTTGTAAATCTTTGATGATGCACTGGAGAGATTTTAGTTGGGGGCTGAAGGTGACAGTTAGTGGCGTTCTGTTATTTTCTTTGTTGGGCCTGTCCTGTAGTAGGTGACTTCTGGGTACTCTTCTGGCTCTGTCAATCTGTTTTTTCACTTCAGCAGGTGGGTATTTTTAAGAATGCTTGATAGAGATCCTGTCTCTGTCTGAGGGATTGGAGCAAATGCGGTTGTATCTTAAAGCTTGGCTGTAGACAACGGATCATATGGTGTGTCCTCGATGGAAGCTGGAGGCATGTAGGTAAGTATAGCGGTCAGTAGGTTTCTGACAATAGCTCATCTTAGCTAATTAGCCTCTTACAATTTGTATGGAAACTTCCAATGTGTGTGTGTGTGTGTTCTTACTATATGTTCCATTCTATGCATCCGATGAAGTGGGCTGTAGCCCACGAAAGCTTATGCTCTAATAAATTTGTTAGTCTCTAAGGTGCCACAAGTACTCCTGTTCTTTTTGAAGAAATACTAAAGTTAAGCTTGATTCTTCTTTCTTTTACACAGACTTCAAAAGAGTTATTCCTGATTTATAAGGGTAGGAGAGGAGAATCAGATTCAAAAGTTACTTTGTAACATGAATTTGCACTTGTTGCATATACTGGGCCAAATTCTCCATTGGTGTAAATCAGTGCAGCTCAACTGACTTCAATGCAGGTAATCCCGTTTACACCAGCTGAGTATTGGGTCCTATGTATTTAGGTATACATATAATGACTTCATTAATCATTGGAAATACATGCAGTGTGAGAGAATCCAAACAGTTGGGGTGGAGCAGAGCAAGGGCTTGTCTACACTACCTGCCGGATAGGCGGGCAGCGATCGATCCATCGGGGGTCAATTTATCGCGTCTACTATAGACGCGATAAATCAACTGCTGAGCGCTCTCCCGTCAACTCCGGTACTCCACCAGAACAAGAAGCACAAGCGCAGTTGACGGGAGAGCGCCAGCTGTCGGCATACCGCAGTGAAGACACTGCGGTAAGTAGATCCAAGTACGTCGACTTCAGCTATGCTAGTCATGTAGCTGAATTTGCGTATCTTAGATCGACCCCACACAGTAGTGTAGACAAGCCCTGAGTTCTGTTATACCATTGCCGGTATAACAGAAAGACCAACAGCTGGATTGTGCCTTATAGGCCCAGCCCTGCGTTGGGGGCATTGCGCAGCGGCATGGCTGTAAGAGCAGCACCCTGTCTCAGAGGCCTGGTCTGCACTAAGCAATGTTACCATGCCTCCTCACCACTGTGAACTAGTGTTCTGATATGAGATGCTAAACATGTTCAGTAGTCAGTGCAGACCAGGACAAACTGTGGTCATGTCAGCATAAAAACTGTCAACCTTGAACAAACATGACAAAGTTTCATGGTGTAGACCAGGCCAGAGAAGCAGTTGCCAACCCCAAAGATTCACAAATCATAAATCAGGAGCCCAAAAATCATGAGATTGTAAAACAACAATAAATGTTGGGTCTTTTTATTTGCCTTCTGACTTTGGAGCCTTTAGGGTTCAGGTTTTTGAGATTTTCTCTGCAACCATGAAGGCTAGAAAACCAGGAAAACTTTCATTTAAAAAAATTAAGTTGAGATTCCCACAGCCAAGTGTGTCCAGGAGCTAGGGCTTTAAGTAAAAACATTAAATGTTGTGAGACTTGCTATAAAATTGCAAGAACTGAGAACAGCATGCCCAGTGCTTCCCAGTTCTCTGCCTGCCAGTGTGGGGGTGGAGGGCGGGGGTTTGAGTCCCTTGAGTACACAGACTGAGATTCTGCCTAGCCCTTACGTGGGTCATGCATCTGGAAGGTGATCTGCCCAAAAGTATATTTGTATCTAGAATGCAACCCTCAGAAAATAAACATCAAAAAAGGCTGCTTCACATACAGAAGAAAGAAGCCTACCTCTTCAACTCGGCAATAAGCAGAGCTGTGCAGGGGACACCTAGTGTCATTAACGAGATGTTGTTGATAGCAGGCTTAATGAATGCAAGGCATGTAGTGACTCCAGAAAGGACACCGACTGCAGCTTTAAACCTTGCCCTGAATAATTAAAGAAAAGGTGTACATTTTGGTTTAATTAAAGCCTTACATTAAAGATAAACAAGAAAAGGCAACAAGATCCTAAAAATGTTTAAAATTGTTGTAAACAAAATTTTATTTCTTTGAATAGGCATAAGATACGACACACACTATAACAACAACAACATGGTGTGTACAGAATGCCTACTTTGGCTCCGATCTGGCAAAGACTTTAACTTTGCATACATGTGTGTCTCGTGCATATGTCTTCGCAAGACTGCAGCCTTGAGAGTTGCATATTTTATATGCACACTGATCATAAATATTTGAAACTGAGGCCCTATTCTGATCTCTCTTATTCCAGTATAATTCATGAGCTATTCCACTGTATTCAATTGAGTTACAAGGTCTAAAACCAGTGCAGTGTTGCCAATTCTCATTATTTTACAAGTATAATGATATTTATTATTTTCCTTAAAGCCCTATCTACTGGAATCATGTTACGTGAGAATCTCAGCTTTTTTTTTTTAAATTTATTAAATAAAGTATTTTCTAGCTCTCTTGACTGCAGAGAAAAGCTTGCAAACCTGAAATCTAAAGATTCAAAACCTCACAAAGCTAATACAGAGATTTTTTTATATATGTCATGATTCTAAAACCAATGATTTTGGGGGGCCTGCCTTGTGGGTTTTTTTGTTTAAGGTTCAGATTTGGCAATACTCCCAGTATAATTAACTATTTATGTTAAACGATCTGTTCCACTTTGTATTTCACTGTGACACTCTGAGTACCTTTTTCCAGACCTCAAAAAGAGCTCTGTGTAAGACGGAAAGCTTGTCTCTCTCACCAACAGATGATGGTCCAATAAAAGAGATTAACTCAGGTAAAAATATATCTTAAAGAGCTCAGGATGGTTCCCTGATTGTGTCTTGAAGTTCATTACACTATTTCACTAATGCACCCATCTTGTCTCTCTAACATCCTCTGACTTGACAGAGCTACAATGACACTGCATACATATATATTACCTGTCATTTCGAAAAACCTTTGGGAGGTATCTTCTGGGGAACCACATGGCCAGAGCGCACATCAGGACCCAAAGAATAGCCAGCTCATCTAGCATCTGACCCAGGAAACTGAGTGTAGCATGGAAATAGACCGATCCAATTCCTGGATGAATCAATTAAAAAGCCAATATGAAGTTATAGTAGTGTATAGCACTAAACTATGCCGCTTAACAATGGACCTAATAGTACATGCTTTGACATGGAGATCATTCTGCCTGGAAATGGTAGAAAGACTTAAATAACACTACAATCTGTGGCAGCTAAAACTTATTGCAAAACAACCAATTTATGAAAGGTGCAAATGTCAGTTCTAAATAGCAAAATGGAGCTTACGTAAAAGAAAAAGCACATCAGGGTATCACTATTAATTGAAATGGGCACAGTATTATTTTTTTAAAAAACCCACAACTCCAAACTAAACAACTAAAAACAACTAAAAATAGAGATACCCCCTCCCAGCCAGTGAGAAAGTCAAACAAGGGTAGCAGCAGGTGGTGGCTAAACCTTAGCATGATTTACAGGTGGAAATCCCATGCTTTTTTATAGAGCCATGCAACCTGCACAATAATTCTTTGCCCCATCTATGTAGTATTTCAAAATCTTCCATTGTCACTGACAATGGAAACATTAATGATCCTCTGTACATAAAATGGGTAAACATTCACTTCTATGGAGAGAAATTATCAGCATGTTACAAACAAAAGGCTCCTGAACTCCTCCCAAATGATGCTAACTATCCTCAACTCCTACTAAAGTAATGGGATGTGGGTGTTCAGCACTGCTCAGCATCAAGCCCAAATGTAGCAAGAGCAATTACGCAAGGGAAGGGCAGAACAGAGCTAAGCAGGCCAGAGTTCCAGCCAACCTCTATTGTCACAATACATTTTCCTTTGTAAAAGCGCACATGCTTCAGTATCAAGTTCAAATAAACTGTTCACTAGAAGTCAGGGTTGCTTTATTTTTCAAAAACATGATATGCGGGCAGGAAAAGAACCTAATTTCCTCTCTCTTGCAGTTCATGCATGACCAGACACACACACACACACACACACACACACACCAACTTACCAACAACAACTAGCAGAGTCCATATTAGGTATATTCCACTGTTGAAGCAGGTTGCATATTGACGAAATAAGCACATACATATTGGTGGCAAAACAAAAAACAAGATGTTGCTTATCTAGAAAAGAAAAAATAAAATAAAATAAAATGTATCAAATAAAGGGGGAAAATTAAACAAACTTTTAAAGTTTGTAAGCTGTCAAAAACCATCTAGAAAAGCACATTTGTTGCTTGGTCTGATGACAACCCCAGCTCACCAAAACTCATATGTCCTTCTGTTTTCTCAAAGCTGACCCAGGTTCTGCAGTGGAGGTCTATACTTTGAGAATGTTAAGCATAAATCCATCCAGACTGGGAACAATGTATAATGTGGATGATCCCTTCCTTAAAATACCTTGTAAATCTATCCCATGAGCAACACTGCTGTGATTACATAAATACATTATCAAATATTCATGTCATTGCAATTCAAAAAGTATATAATGACAACAAGAGGTGAATAACAAGAATCTTAGCTGGTGGCACTCTTCTTAATGACTGAGGGAGCCTTGCATGAAAACTTGTGGAACTGCCTGGATACAGATCATGTGGTCCTCCCTTAGAGGAAGGCGCTTGGGCTGGGGAACCCTGCTGCAGCTCTTAGGCTGTAACAGGCAGCTGTGGAGCATCTACCCTACAACTTCATCCTCAGGTGAGAGGCAGGGGAGGGAGACAGAATTCCTCATCATTGCCTCTATTACATTCTCAGTGCCTAGCCCAATTACTCAGGCAGGAGAGAGGGCGAGCTTGGTCATAAGAGAGTCCCCCTGAAAAAAAAAAAAGGGGGGGGAATTACAGCTGCCTTTGAAACCTATAATTTAAACTGGCCAGTTTGGCCTTTTAGGGCCTGATCATATATTCCCAGTGCCCCTCAACCTTCCACTGAAGTTAATGAGAGTCTGGGGTGGACAAAGCATGTAGGATTGGACCTTTAATGGGTGTGTTTGCTCCTTCAACTATATTTTTCCCTACTGATGTCCTCAAATATAGTCTTCCCTTTACACAAGAACCTAATTCAGAGAGATTAAAATTCAATCACCTCACTTACATTCCCAGGAAGGGTCAAAACGTGTTCCTAAAACCAGCATTCAAAATGACAGGAACTGAAGGAGGGGCTCCTAAGCATATTCATTTGCAAGCACTGTATGCAAGAAGCATTAAATCAAACTAAAGATGCCCCCACAGAGGGTCACATTTTCTTCAGAAGCCTTGACCTTTGGGTTTAATTAAAGTAAAATATTTAGAAAAAGCAATCTCCCGCTCAGTTTAAAATAGCACACTCTTTACTAGAAACACGGTGAATTTGTGCCAGCAGAACCCTTGGAAACAGCATTCAGCCTGAGACTCAGAAGATAATATGATAGAGATGAGCTCACTTGTACTTTTAAAATCAATTTTTTCTTTAAGAAAAGATTACAATGAAAATGTTGAAAAGGCTGAAATGCAACAAAAACTTACATTAAAAAAATTGACCAACCCACCTCTCCTGTCACCTAAAAATAAAAAAAGCTAGATCAGCAGGCTATTGAGAAGAGGGAGAAAGGATTCTGTGGCTTTTTTAGGACTGGCATCTAGGACTGTTACAGAACAATATATGGTTGGCAGGAAGAGGTTTGAAATACATCATTAGAAGTCACTGTATTGAATTTCTGATTTTATCAAAATAAACTATATAGAAAAGGGGATCCTGATATACTGTATTAAAAGGCTTAATGTAACTGTTCTTTGCTTTGAGCTCCATCACAAACTGGACCAAATTCCATCACTGCAAACATTTGGTTCCCTCATTTTGGTCAACAAAAGACCCAAGAGTGTAAACAAAGGCACAATGAAGAAAGATTGTCCAGTTCTTGTCACCCAGGACTTCCACAAAGGTCTGCAATGCCGCAGATAGAGTATAGCTTTACAAAAGCCAAATTAAAAACAAATCAACCTTCCTGTCCCCAAAAAACCCACGACATGTATACATACCTGATTTAAACTCAATTTAGGAGTGTCCACACAGTTTGCACCAGTCTAACTAAATAAAATTTTAAAATATCTTTAGGTAACTGTTTCAAAATTTGTGTTTAGACAAGGCCTTTGTCCTGTGACTACAGGACTGTGCCGTTAAATCTTTGCTGAGAAGTGAATAATATCTGGCCTTTTGGGATGTGTATTAGCAAGGTTCTGCTATAGTACTTTAAGGGCCTGATTCAAAGCCCATTCAAGACAAGGGCAGTCTTTCCAGTGACTTCAATGGGCTTTGGGTCAGGCCCATAGCCATGTTATCCCAAGTCATTTTAGAGGTATGGAGTGAAATCTTGGCTCCAATGAGGTCAGTGGCAAAACTCCCATTGAGTTGAGTTGGGCCAGGATTTCCACCATAGATCTGTTAACAGCTGTCTTTTCTTGACCTAATCTGATCATTCATCCTGGTGCACCCCCTGCACTTTCCAGGACTACATTCTATAGTATTACCATTCATGTTTTAGCTAATTTTCTCAGCATTTCACCATAGAGGGTGTTCACCACCCTCTCCCATCTCACTTCCAGCCTGCTCCAAGTCACATTTGCTTTCATTAAGAAGTATTCTCTTTTGTTTATCCTAAAAACTTCCTCCCTATGTTTTAGGTTCTTCTGCAGGGACAACACGGGCAAATATAGCAGACTACTTTCCCCAAAGTGCTCAGATATCATAGGGCACCCATATACCAGATCACTCTTGATAGTGGTTCTAAGGAAATCATAGCATCAGCAATGCTGGGCTCAAATGTGGGATTTGCTTTTATTTAAATGTGTGGAGCTAGCAAGAAAAAAAGACACGGACTGAGATCATGTAGTCCTCACTGATTCGCTCAGCAGAGGGTTTGGTGTGTAAATGTAGTTCTGTAACTGCATGCAGTGCTACAACCGGTTGCTAACCTGGAAAGGAAAAAAAAAAAAAAAGCCAGAAAGAACAGGAGACAAAGAGGAAGGAGCTAGGCAAGTTTTTTGGAAAATGGGTTCAAGAAACCCCCAAAAGACAGTGAGGTGGGAAGAAAAGAGTCAGAGAAACTCAGGGTACCATCCTGCCAGCCCTCCATACATGATTACCCATCAAAATTGAAGGAAGCCCTGCACAGAATTTGCAGGATCCCAGTGTACACCACACTTTCCATACAAATCTGTGAAGCTGTACAATGCCCCACTAATGTGGATGCAGTTATAGTGGTATAAAGCTATTCCCTTACAGGAAGGGGATAGGGGAATAAGCTACACCAGTGGAATGCACCTTTATACTGGCTTAACTGCATTCAGGACTAGGGATTGTAACAGGATAATTATTTCAGTTAAAAAAAAAATCATAGCCCTAACTGAAATAGTTGAATCAATCCAAAAGCCTGGGTGCAGACCACGCCAACAGAGATGCACTTGAACTGGTCAATATAAATCCAGCAATTTATCAAATTAAAATGTTCTAATATAGATAAACCTATAGACCAGCCCTAAATTTGATACATAAGAAGCTGCTATTGCAGAACTGAAAGGAATTTGCTCAGCTTGGGGGTGGACAAATTTCAAGAGCAGCAATTTTTAGTTCTTCCACATACAGCATTCTGTGTTCACCTCTACTCCAGTGCAAACACTACTAGCCTAGGCCCCGGGCATGTTGCTCCCAAAAGAAAGAAAAGAGCGTCACACAAGTTAGATGGTCCCAGATATTAGAACGTGGGAGTGGGTGGAGATAAAACTCTCTTTTGTATTTTGTTTAGTCTTTGAGTCCGGTTCTGATCTCAGCTATGCTGGTAGAAATGTGGAGTAACTCCAATGAAGTCAAAGTTACACTGGTAAATCCAGCATAAATGAGACTGATATCTGACCCTTTCCATATATTGTTGATTTAAGAGAGATATATACACAGAATTAGGATCAGAAAAATTTCCAATCAGTATAGTAGATGGTATTTTTGTGAAAAGAAAAAGGAGTACTAGTGGCACCTTAGAGACTAACCAATTTATTTGAGCATAATTGCATCCGATGAAGGGAGGTGTAGCTCACGAAAGCTTATGCTCAAATAAATTGGTTAGTCTCTAAGGTGCCACTAGTACTCCTTTTCTTTTTGCGAATACAGACTAACACGGCTGCTACTCTGAAACCTGGTATTTTTGTGATCAACCTTAACATTTTCCATTTCATTTTAAAATGAAAAAGTTTTAAAGTTCCAGTAAAATAAAAATGTTAGCCTTATACGATGGTGAAACAAAATCAACAGAAAACAGGCACGTGAAACCAGATCACAAAAGACGCTTCCCACCCTCACCCCCACACCATCCAAATAAAGCTACAGGAAAACTGATAACTTGCAATTGGACAGTAAGACCACAGCCCTAATGCAATAAAATACCAACACTGTCACATGCAAGAAGACCTTATTCTAGCCCTGTGTGCAAAAAGGCAAGGGAAAGCTGAGGGACTGCTGCTATTTTCCCCAAGCTAGAAAAACAAGAGATCTCATTTCCTTTTAACTCCCCATGGAAATGCTTTGAAATCAAGGCTAAAAAACTATGAAATACAAAAGAAGATGATGGTATTTTTGCTATATTTGGATAACTTCCTATTAAAGTTAGCGAACAAAAAGTAACAAATGTAAATGTTATTTGCATCTTATTTTTTTATTTAAAAAGTCAATGAAAGTGACAGGATGTACCAATAATATTTAAATAATTACTTAGTCAGACACACACACACTATATACATACGTATGCATTAAACATAAGATAAAAAATAAATACCGAGTGTAGTGCAGGCACTGAAAGACACAGAGACATGCATACAGATGTGCAAACACAAAGCTATGTACTCGATACACACCGTGTTGTAGAACTCGGCTATCGTGGGCACGATAGTGTAGTTATCTTCGCACCAGTCTACCTCGGAGCTGCCGGCTCGCAGCTGATCCCACAAGTAGAGGGTGCTCATGACTGGGGTGGATCTGCCTTAGGGCCGCTTCTGCTTTTTCCGCTGCGGCTGTGTTGGGGCTCTCTGTGCTGTTGCTCCCCTGGACTAATCAGCAAGACCCAGACAACATTGAGGTAGCACCCGCAGCAGCTTCCTCCTGTTTTCCTTTGCTCCAGCCGGATATGGAGCTCCACAAGCAGCACCTCTCAGCCTGTTGGACTCATCCTCCCTCCTCCCAGTGGGTTTTTTAGCTTAATGCACGCTTCCCTGCTGATCAGCCTGCCCGCCCTCAGCCCCAGAGCGCCTGCGCCTTCGGCCTCAGCCAAGCTGCTGCCCTGTATTTACCACGCACGACACAGAGAGTCGGATCCTCCTCCAATGGAAGTCCGCGCAAGCTCCTGTTGATTGACTTCTGTCGTTCAGGACCGGGCTGGAGGAGCACAGAAGAGACGAGGGTGTACGGAATAATTCTGCACCGGTCCCCAGCGGAGCCACCAGGTGGGACTTAATAAATCTTAATTTCTATCTCTGGGATTCCAGGCTGTCCCCACTCCGAAACCCACACAGATGGGGGCGGAAACATTTAAGACACAAAGTGAACAAACAGGGAAATAAAGGATAATGCAGACATTTTTTTAACGCAACATCCGCTGCATCTGGGCACCAGCACAAGTAAAACAGACTGATTTTGAAACACTTAAATTAATGAACTGCAGTAATCTTTCCTAGAACAGCTTCTGGATTGAGCTCCCGCTCCTTCCCCCCCGTTCTCGTGAAAATCCATAGTCTGGCAGTTTTGCAGACTAAAGCTCTCTGTTTACACACAGAAAAAGAGAAAGGAGCAGAGACAGCTTCCCCACATTGCCCAACCCGTGTCCCTTAGCCTGTTTCAAAGGGATAACCTCTAAGGGTATGTCTACATTCCAATGTAAACCTGGGCTCAGATTCAGGCTCAAGCCCAACCTCTCCCCCCTGCAGTCTATACACAAATCTATCTGATTCAGACCAGTAAGCCTTCTGAACCCAGACCCTAGGACCCTGCAAGGTGGGTGCTTCTGAGCCTGAGTCACACTTAGGGTGACCAGATGTCCAAATTTTATAGGGACAGTCCCGATTTTTGGGTCTTTTTCTTATATGGGCTCCTATTACCCCCCACCCCATCCTGATTTTTCACATTTGCTGTCTGGTCACCCTAGTCACACTGGGGCTTGGGTCCACAATGCATCATTTTGCACCATGAACAGAGCTTGGGACCAGATCCCCCAGTCTCACATCCTGAGAGGCTGCAAACACTATCCCACAATGCCACGGGCCAGCTTTCTTATCCTTTCTATCCCAAGATTAGCCAATTGACTCCCAGGAAACAGAAGCATCCCCCTGGTGCATGTACAGCTGCTTGGCATTTAACGTTTCCATTTTATTCTGACTGCTGAGTTGCTAACAGCGGGAACTGTCTCCTGAGTTAGCTATGGCCACCAGCAAGAAGTCTGTTGCCAAGCACACTGCTACCTGGTCACAGGACCATGGTCAAATTCTGGTAAATCTGTGGTGTGAGGAGAAGAAGACATTCGGTTTCAATAAGAATACCAGAAATGACCATGCGTACTAAGAAATACCAGACAGATCAGTGCAGGGAGTGGATTAAGTGGTTCAAGAGCAACTACCAAGAAAGCCAGGGATGAGGACTGCACCTCTGGGAACTCCCTATCATCCTGTCTCTTTTAGGAGAAGTTTGATCAGATGCAATGAGCTCCACAGCGGTTCACAATAACCTGGTCAGCAATGGCAACCTTCTGACCTCTGAATCTTGTACACCACCAGAAGGGAGCCAGCAGCTGCCAGATCAGTCTAGTGAAGTGACTCTGGTGCTCACACCAGTCCCCAAGGAGACTTTGCTGCCAGAGCAGCTGCAGCATGTCCACACTCAGAGGAGCTATTCGATGACCCCCTGGAGGAGCAGCCCGCTGTGGAAGTAGAAGCAGAAGAGGCAAAAATAACTCCAGTGCCTGGTAAATATTTTGGCTCCATGTTTGTTGTTATTAATACACAAATGGGAGAGATTTGTGATTTATGAGCCAACACAATTTTTATTACAAACCATGGGTAGGAGTGTGTATCCACTAATGGCGGAATGCACGCCTTAGCATTTTGGCATCTGCTCCCTCTATTCACATGGCATTAAAATGGAGACTGAAAAGTGCAAACAACAGTTAAGCGGTTAACATTAAATTTTTACTAGATACTTGTATGTTCTTACAAAGATATGCTGGAGTGTTAAAAGTAAGAACCTTATATTGCCTTTCCTTTTTGTATGCTGTGCAGTACAAATTGGCCACACCACAACATAACAGGCTACCTGTAATCTGTACGGGAAGGAGGCAGAAGTGTAGTTCATGGGTGATTAAATCCATGTCTAATACGGCTGGAAGGTTGGATGTAGTCCAGAAAAGTTTTGAGGGAGAGGAGGTGGCTGTGCAGTTCTTTGAGAGTCCGTATTATTGTGTGTGTTGACATGTAGTCCATGAGCAGATGTAGTCACAATAGACTGTATCATAAGCCGTAGGGATGCAGTAATCCATGTGGATGCTAACACAACATCCTGTTCATTCCCCCATGAATCTTGGGTGCTGATAGCTACAAACTTTACCTGTAGGAGGAACTCCAGATAGGTAGTCACATTTTGGGGAAAGGCATATTTTCCAGACCCTCCTCTATAGGGCACCAGCCCACTCCACTTGTTAATGTGTTGCTCGCTCACCGTAAGCTTGAAAACCTCTGTGGAATACATGGCTGGCTTGCCACTGGTAGCATGGAATAGAATGGCCCTTTGCCATTCAGGGAACTCCAGGATTCTTATGTCCTCCAGAATATGGAATGCCTGAAAGGACTGAGAAACCTTAGCTAGTAAACCGTGACACACACACCCCCGCCCCCAGGGTATCATGGTCTGCACTTTACAAATGCCTCACTTTTAAAATTTCACCTTACCGTTGTGTGTACATTCTTTGCACTCTGCTTAACTCAGTTATGTCCATGGAGTTTCTGGGAATCAAATCGCTTCTCTAAGAATATAATGAAGCTGAGTTTTACAAAGCATCAATTTTTGGCCTTGAGATTCCACAGGCACTTTTCTCTGAGGATACAGTGAACCTTTTTTGAAGTACTGCTACAATAATGTGCTGTTTGATGGTGGCTTTCACTCCCTTCCACCTGTGCAGGCCCTTCCACCTCTGCAGCTTAACCACACTCCAACAGAAGCCTGAGATTTCTAACAGTCAAAGAGAAAGCATTTCTGTGATGAACTTAAGGTGGACATCCTGGACAGGGCCAACAAGCAGGTACAGTACCAAAGGGAAAAGAATTCATGGCAAGTTGAAAGGCACAGACAGGCTACAGAGTGCAAGGAGAAAATTGAAGCAGGTCAGTTGAGAGTTGCAGCAGTTTCGGGAGCAGGAACATTGCTTGAGGGAGGAAGACAGAGCATGGCGGAAAGACCTGTTTGAGAGGCTCTAAGGGCTAATGGCCACAAGAGTTCAGGCTTCTGCTCCACCTGTACCACATCCTGAGCCCTGTCCATGGTACCATGTCATGCAGACTAGGAACACATTGGACAATACAAAAGTTGGGTGGCCCTGCAACCAAGACTGAACACTAGTAGCTGGACAGGTCAAATACACCCCCAGCAGTCCTCCACCCCCAGGCATCGTCACCAAGTTTACACTAAATGTGCTAGAAAGGGAGGCCCAGGGACATGCAAAAGTAGGGAATTTATTTGTTTGCACTGGCTTCACTGTTGAAAGTTTGTGTTATGCACTTTATTTTATTATGGATTTTGGTGTTGGTTTATTACTGGTGTTTTGGTGTTCTAATGGCAGCTGGCCTGGCTGACAATGCTTTAATATTGTTTGGTAGGTTTTTTTGTAATAGACATGTTCACAAATAAAGGCTTTTATTTTATTATAAAAGTTTATTGCCATTATTCCATCACATCATATAATATGTATTTCAAAGAATGAAGACATGATAAGGCACAACTAGGAAGTTTTATCCAAATACAAGTTCTTCATACATCAATTCAGATCAGTCCATAATGAAAATCCACATTTCAAGTCACACAAACCACTGTCTCCACCCCACTGGATAAGCAGTTATCTCATCCACAATTAACCATTTGTGACAATCACACACTCCATTTGTAGCATTACTTCATTTATTATAAAAATTACTGTACAAATACACCCATAAAACGTACCATCCTCTACTGGTCCAGGCAAGTCCATAACACAAGTGCTCAAAGTATCCATGATTTCTGTTGCCCATGTGTATCCTGCTCCAGCTGTGATAAGTGTACCTTCTGGCTGAGTGTACCGGTTCAGCAATCCATTACTGTCATACATCCATTCAGTGCCAAATGGCTCATCCTTTGGATTCACAAAGATTGTGAAGCACACAGGAAGCCACAATAATGCAGACTGCACTGATTACACTGGTGTACAAACAGTTCTGTAAACAGCACCAGTGGAATTTCAATCCACCAAATGCTCACTCATTCTACACCTACTAAGGGTGTAATTAAACCTTCTTTTACAGGGCCTCTGTGAGGAGGATACAGTTTCATAAGCCTAAGCAAGGTGGTTTCCTCTAGAACAACAGTGGGGACAGTTACTCCGTTTGACAATATCATGTGGTCAGAACAGTGTCCATGAAGTTAGACTCCCAATCAGCGGAAAACCCTGGCATCATGCACTTTTTCAGTGCAGGCCATATTGGCATCCATATATCAGACTCTGTAGTTTACAAGGGCCTGCATTACGATGTAGTACCCTCTGCGATTTATGTGCTCCTTGAGGAAGGCAAACTATGGGCACGAGTCCCATTGATGGCCCCGGCACAATCTGGATACCTCATTCTCTCAAAAGCAGCATTTACTTCAGCGATATTGTTTATATCCACCAACTTGGGGTAAGTCACACGCCTGACTGCCTCAGAAACTTCCACCATGACTTGTACCCATGCTTGACTTTTCAACACCAAACTAGTTAGCAACAGACATGTAGCAGTCTCGGGTAGCCAGCTTCCAGATGGTTATAGCAACCTACTTCTAGACTGACATGGCTGCCCCCCGTCTGTGTCGTTATGCTGGAGGGTTGGGGCAAGCTGCTCACAAAACTCCACAAATGTAGCTTTCTTCATGTGAAAATTCTGGAGCCACTGCTGGTCATCCCAGAGTGATGAAGTGATCCACCAGTCTGTGCTTGTGGTCCTGCTCCAAAAGTGCCGGTCTATGGAAGGGGCATCAGT